ACTTTGGCAAGTTGCCAGAGGGTGCTTTGTGCTTGTGGACCTGAACCCTCGTAAGGAGGGGGTCAAAGGAAAGGAGTAAACACCTTCAGGGAGGCTGAGGTGGAGAAATAAATTCCGCTCGGATTTCTAGTTAGTTAGAACAAAGAGCTGAGAGATTGAGCTGTTACTGTCTGTATATTTAGTTATACAGAGTCTAGGATTTCAAAATTGGTCCTGCATTTCCTCTGGGGTTTAAGGCGCGGATTACGCAAGTATAATGCAGGTCTGCGGATGGTATATTCCAGTGCACAAGTTGCTCATTTTAAACTTGCCCATCAGTGAAATGACTTGGTTCTGTTGTTCATACAGATTTCGTCAATCAAAGGCCGCTTTGCCTAAAAGAACATCTTAAATTGTGCAAGCGGCTCTCTCATACCTGTAACATTCAAAAAGAGAGGCGGACATTGCACAGGATTGTTTTCAGTGGCTCCTCGGTGTCGCTGTCACTAGTTCACTGTCTTCATGAATATGTTTTAGGAATTAAGACAAGGATTGGATAGGCGTGTGGCTCAGTGTGGCATTAAAATAACACTTGTGATAATTCAAATATCCCCAAAGAATGTCTCAGCCTCAGGGGAGATAGGGGGATGGGGGAAGAGGAGAGAGGTGTCAGGCAGAAGCCTGACATTTTCTCAAATAAGAGCTGAATTGGGTTGAGCCACAGTCGGGGCTCTCTGTGCTACGCTAACGGCATCTTGAAGGGAAATGCGGGCAGAGATTTAGACCTCTGTAGCTTTCTCTCTCTCCTCGGAATGGGCAGGGGGTGGGTTAACCTTGACTTGGCTCAGCATTTTGTATTCTGATCGTCACCAGAGGAAATGTGGCATTTGGCGTGAAATTTGGAATGGAGACCTCTGTACGTTCGAAGCTTTGAATTCGGCTGATTCCTGCAGCCGCGACTGGACCAGGTGTAGGTTACACCAGTTCTGCATTGTACCATCTGTAAAGTGCCAAAATCCTCTCTGTTGACTGTCAATTTTCGGGTCTCTCCTGAAGCTGTTGACACTTAACCTGTACCCCTTCTCTATCTGGTTTTACTGGTTCCACTTGCTCTCCTAAACCTCACCCAAGTGGTCGTTACCGTATTGTTATCATGTCTGACGCTTGATAGTGAGTGTCATCCGGTTGTATTGCCTGACCTTGGAGTCCTGTAACATAGTGGTTAGAGCACTCGCCTTGCAAGCAAGAGAATCCAGATTTGATTCCTGAGCGGAGCAAAACTTTAGGCAAGTTTCCTTACTCCACACATCTCTGTTTACCTAGCAAGGAGTAGGAACCTGGTTGCTAGTCAATTGTCAGATCGTTTCCTGGGGTTAATAATCCCTCCCCCCCGCCCTCAATCCACTACAGTTTGTGGGGCACTGCTGTGCGAAATTGGCTGCCGCATTTCGTCCATCAAATACAGTCAATCCACTTTACAGTATATTCTGTGAAATGCTTTGAGAAGTCTGAATAACGCAATATGATTCTGTATCAAATGCAAGGATCATTATTAATATTCCATATGTCATAAATACTTGTTCAAAGCTTCAAAATGCAGATGTTTTCTCCCTTTTTTTAAAAAAAGAAAGAAAGAAGTGGGCAGAATAGCTTCAAGTACAGACATTTAAAGTATTTTCACTGGTAATTATCTTTGAGTTTTCTAACTTGCATGAAAGTTGTGAAGTGTGTATGCCTCTGCAATTGCCATTTATGATTTTTAAAAGTTGCCGTAGTTCCTCATGCTGAAAGACTTTTTTTATGATGTTTTGTTTTGACGTCAGTACTGTAATTCTTGACTTGTCCCTTGAAATATCCCTATCGTTATATATCCTGTGTGCCATATGAATTGCTGGGGAAAATCGAAAACTTGACAATCTGGCAATCAACTCATCGCTGGCCTTTGTCAAAACCAACCTCACACACTCCACTCCACCGACTGTGGTTTGAAACTATCTGCCGTGTGATTATGGCTGGATGTTATTTTGGTGGCTGATGCCTTGGAAAATGGGCCCCGCGTCACGTAGAGGAGCGTCCAGAGCGACAGGCGGGCTCAAAGCGCGGAGGATGATGAAGAAGGGCATCTCGTCTATCGGATTGGCGACTGGCTGCGAGACAGATGTACAGCCAATTTCGTAACAAACCATTTCGCTCTCTACTTAAGATCCCAAGAGAAAAAAAAATGTGCAGACTTGTCATTGCTACTTTTTTATTAAATCCCTTTATTTTGCTTTCTTTTTATTCATGTTTTATTTTCATTTTAATTAAGTGCAGGGAATAGTCTGTATTTCGGTTTGTGTAGATTTCTCTGTTGTATCACTTTTCAACCCCCCCGTCCCCCTCCAAAAAAAATGTGCAGTGAATGAATCTGATTTTTTTAAGAAGCCATGGTTTAATACTCTCAATTGTCATTAGGAGAAAAAACTTCTTGGAAATACTGAATGTGTGTTTCATTTAATTTTTTTTAGATGAGATTGTTAATAATCTAGGTGAAGGGACGTTTGGCAAAGTCGTACAATGCACCGATCACTGCCGGTAAGTGTCCATCTGCTCTTGTTCACATTGATGAACTTCTGTGCGACTTTGTTGGCTTCAGATATTTCCCACCCCCTCCAACTTTCCTCCTGTGAAGCTGGTGGCTTGTGCATTTCAAGCCCAGCTCGCAGAAAGGTCCTGGTACCTACCATCAAGTGAGAAGCTCAAACCCACTCTTGTTGAATGTCAAACAACAAACTAGTGACTGTCCTCCTTCTTGGGGGGCGGGGGGGGAAGGTAAGCCGAGTCTACTTGGAGCTGTACTGGCTCCGTGGTGAAATCCTTCGCAAAGGAATGTCGGAATCGAGCCAGCCCTCTGTGGCGGTCTCTGGAGTCCGGTTCCTGAGCCAGATGGGTCAGCAGTGTTCCGGGCCACTGCTAGTGACAGCACAGCCAGCCTTGTGCATTGGCAGGACTTGGAAGGGAAGACCAGGCACTGGGGGCAGGGAATCCTCCCACTCAACTCCTGTTAAACCCTGCAGCCAAAGCTGTAATGGGTGGGGGGTGGTCCTAACTAGACAAGCAGCGGGAAAGCTTGCCAGACGTGCTATCAATGGCAAGCTATTTGATTAGACTCTAGCAGTTACCCCAACGCACACTCTGGATCCCCAAGCCTTGGCTCTTGCCAACCTGAGCAAGATTGGAGTAAATGGCCTGGTTTTTATTGAAGAATAATCCTCCATTGCAGATGCCAGCAGAAGGTGGTGCTTTAGAGTCTTTTTAAAATGGACTGTGATTTTACTTGGCTGAAGCCAGGTTATGTGTCAATTAGTATATTATTTTGAAAGAAAACATAATGTACCCTCAAAGAACCGTCAAGGTGTCCTCTTGGGAAGGAAACGTTACAACAGCTGTGGTTGACTGACTGAACAGTAGATTTCTGACAGGTGCCAATTTGCAGGGTTCAGTGTTGCTTACAGAGATAAGGGAGAGAGATGAGAAATTATTTTCACTCATGGAAGTGGATGCCTTGTCCTCCTATTGAAACTGTACAGTGTCCGTTGTCTGTTGCTCTTCAGTTGAAGGACTGAGCAGATGTATAGATGGTGCATCCAATGCCTCAGTGTAATGTCTTTGGAAAGGCACATGTGTTGCATTGTGAATTCCCATTCCAACTCTTACAGGTGTTGGGCTTTTTGTTTGTGGTGATGCTTAGAGTAGAGGGGGCCCACGACTACTGTTTGGACGGATGTTAAAGATTCCGCGACACTATTCGAAAAGAGAAGGCAGTTTCTCCCGGTGTCCTGGCCAACAATTCCCCAGATAAATTAGTCGCTCACTTCATGGGATGTTGCTTGGCCAAATTGGCTACCATGTTTGCCTACAAAATACCCGGTCCCTGCACTTTACAGAAACTCTGAGACGTTCTCGACGTTATAGGCGTTGTATCAAAATGCAAGGATTATTATAAATAATAATAATTCTAATTATTAATCTCCGATCCAATCTACTTGTAGTAATAAACCAGCGGGTTGACGAGAATTTTCATTAATTCTGATTAATAATACGAAAATTCATTGCATTTGATCTAGCGCCTTATCACATCTTAAAGACGTTTCAAAGTGCTTCGCAGAATATATTGTAAAAGTGAGTTGACTGTGTATTTACGGGTGACATTAATGAAAGACCTTATTGCGTTTGACATGAAACTACCAAATACAATCACTGCTTAATGAAATGCCTCTCCCTCTCTCTCGAAGCTCTTCAATTGAATGCAATGCGTTCTGAAATCTGTTTTGTACATGTCTGATTTTCTTTGCAGAGATAGTTTGTTGTTTTGTTTGCTATTGCTTGTTTCCAAAAAAAGTTTCCCCAGTGCTATAAATATCCCATTCTGCTTACAGAGACAATGAGCCGGTTGCTCTAAAAATAATAAAAAATGTAGAAAAATACAGAGAAGCAGCTCGCTTGGAAATCAATGTGCTGGAGAAAATTAATGAAAAGGATCCAGATAATAAATTGTAAGTATTGTGAAACGGATTCAGATGATGCACATAAATCCTATGTTTTTTTTTAGTATCAAGGAAAGCTGACGTTTTCATTCATTTACATGATATTAAAACTATTAATAATTTGGTTACTCAATCTAGGATTGTTTGTGGGTCACCGCTGTGTCCGATTAGCTGCCGCATTTCTCCCACAAAATATACAGTTAATTCACTTTATAGTTTATTCTGTAAAACTCTTTGAGATGTCTTGAAGATATGATAATGCGCTATATATCAAATGCAAGGATTATTCTTCTTAAATTATTCTTAATTTCCCGTTTTATGGAAATCCTACCAGTCCAGTGATTTTCTGCCTTAAAGGAGAACTCCACTTGACAATAACTAGGATAATAGATGCCAGATAGTGTCTGTTAAGGTGTAACATACATGAACCCCCAAGGTTAGATTACAGCCTGAAAGTCACGCAGTCTGTTTAGCTCAGTGTTCACTGCCTCCCTTGTTAACTAAGCAACTACATCAAACAAAAATTTTAAGCCTGCATCTGATGTGCCAAGAGTCTGCGTCTGTTCTGCCTTATTATTACTTGAAAATAATGACAATCTTGACCCTGTACCTTTTGTTCTGGGTGAGATATCACCATGAGGGAACAAAAATCACCTACTTGATTTTCACTGTTTTTAGTGACTCATCATTCCATTAATCCACAGTTATAAACCACAGCGACTTGCATTTATACAGGAGTGCTTACACTTCAATAAACCTCTTCCCAGTTTGGTACAGTGGGAGATGCTCTCTGAGATGCCAATTGTTGGGATTTCCAAACCCTGAATTCGAAATATGATTCGACAATCCAAAGTGGTGTAACAAAGTTTTATTGAACAATTAGTCAAATATAAGTATTTACAGAATCAAAACGTATTACTCATTCCGATGACTCTGGGCAACGACTATTCGACCTCTACCCTTGTCTTTCCTCTGGCTGCTGCTGACCTCTATTCCTCTTTCACTTTTAATGGTCACTTTCTTACTGGAGGTAAATTCCCTCACCCCTGTATGTACACATAGATACAGTAGAATCAATATCGATTCCACTGGGAAGTGCACTGACTCTCCACACAACTTCCAACTATTTCAAAGTTACATCTTTCTGTCATGTGTTTCTAACTCCACCTCCCTTGGTCACAGAGATAACCCCCACCCTTCGCAGGCTGTTTTGCAGAGGTAGAGATATGGACAACTTCTGGGCAGCCATCCACACCCTGCTTGTTTCTCAGCCTTGAGACAGGCAGGTGTCTGAGGCTGCAGCCTTTTCTTTCTGTGGTCCATTTTGTTCTTGCATCTATGCTCAAGGACCCGATTGCTCAGAGGAGTGAAGATCTTCCCAGGAAAATATGAAATGTAATCGGAAGCTAACCTCAGCCCATCCAGCAAAGCTACTTTTAACCATTTAACTACCGAACCTTCTGGAACATTGGGTTGCTGTTTGAAATACGCCAGTGTATCCCGAGGTGATCGTCAATATATTTCAACACAATTCACAAGAGAGGTTTGGATGGAGAAGGCCTCTTGGCCCATTTGATCTCAACCTTTCAGAACACCCACACTCGCGTCTCCCCACAAAAGCTTCAAACTGCTTCTAAAATGAGTCCCGACATCTGCTTGCCACTCTTCCTGGCAACCAAGTGTTGATTCCTTCTCTTGTGTAAAACCTAACGTGTAGTGGGGGAGATTGTGGGGAGAGCCATGTATGCTACATAATAATAATAATAATAATCCTTGCATTTATATAGCGCTTTTCACCTCTTTTAGACGTCTCAAAGCACTTCACAGAATAGACTGTAAAGTGAGTTGACCATATATTTGTGGGCGAAACGCAGCAGCCAATTGCGCACAGCAGTGTCCCACAAATAGCCGTGGATTGAAAATGACCAATTTATTATTTTTTTTATATTGGAGGGATTATTATTAGGCGTGTGGAGTAAGAAAACTTGCCCAAGGTTTCACCCTGCCTGGAATTGAACCCAGGTGTCTCGCTTGCAAGGCGAGCGCTCTAACCACTGAGCTACAGGACTCCACATGAGGGCAAACGAAAAGGATTTCATTTTATTTGCCTTTTATGATAGATTTGTGGTCAATAACTTGTAACTTTAAGCGATGGAAACTTTGAAGTTTCTGAACTGCTCTGGTCTTGCTTTGCAGTTTGTGTGTGCAGATGTTTGACTGGTTTGACTATCATGGCCACATCTGCATCGCCTTTGAATTGCTCGGTTTAAGCACCTTTGATTTTCTGAAGGAAAACAACTATTATCCATACCCGCTGCACCACGTCAGGCATATGGCTTACCAGATGTGCCATGCCCTCAAATGTAAGTGATCTCATTTCATTCAGATGCTTACTGATTGCTCAACAACTACTTGCACCCCTCACACAGGGCAACATCTCGGAGCGCTTGACAGTGGCAGAGCCTAACACCGAGCAGGGGAACAGATGGGGGCGGGGTGACTGTAGGCACGGTTCAAGAGGAAGGTCTTAAGGCGCTATCTGAAAACAAAGTAGGAGCGAGACATTGGCTTTGAGGGATAGAATTCCAGAGTTTCGGGGTGTAGTGGCTGAAAGCTCAGCTGCCGATAGAGGAGCAGAGGGGACGAAAGACATGCAGGATGCCAGAGCCAGCTGAGCAGAGGCGATCGGTTTTGGCCTGGGGAATAAGCAGGTCAGAGAGGTGCCAGGGCGTGAAGGGATTTGTAGATGAGCGTCAGGATCTTGACCTTGATCTGTTCTGAGATGTGGAGCCTGGCGAGGGCAATCTAAAATTACATTTGTAGAGCAACTTTCACTGGGGACTGATGTGATGGGGTTATGCGGTTTAGAGCGGGCAACGGAGATTTGGAGCTACTGTTCAAGCTTCTGAGATAATTACTTTTGTTTTTCTGTCTCTCTCGCCACAGTTTTACACGACAACAAACTTACACATACTGATCTGAAACCCGAGAATATTCTCTTTGTGAATTCTGACTTCAACATTACTTACAACCCAGAGAAGGTTAGTAGCTGGACCAATTTATTTTTCAGTCGTGCAAGTCGTTTTATTTTTGCTGCAGTTTAGGGGTCACTTCTTTCTGATCTTTGTGAAGCTGGGGTGCTGATCTGTACGCACTGTACGCTGATCATTGCACTGCTTAACTTTTCAGACAAGGGTTGACATCTTAAATGTCGCGGGTGAGCCCTGTTATATGGCACTTCATTGCAGCATGATTGGGGGTGTGGATCCCAATATACACTTGCCCTAAAATGAGTGTGAAACACTGACCCAGCTTTTTTTTTAAAAAACCAACTTCCTGTGGCATGCAGATGATGGTGGGGGCAATCTGACAAGCTGGATGGTGGCCATTTTTTTTACAGCACAACAAGCCAGCTGCTGTTTTGAAACAAGCCATGTTTCTGCACCAGGTGCATTGAATGCAGGAGCGCTGTATTCTCTGTGGAGGATCAAAGATGAATTTGTGCTCCCTTAAAATAGACGTAATCCATGTAGCACTAGTTCAGGTTATCTGTTTTACTGTTGGAGCTTTGATTCATGGGGAGACCCTTACAAGTCCAAGACTACCTTGGTTTACTAAGGCCCAACATCAAAAGCTGAAAGACTGTATGTGTAATGCACATGAAGACGTGTGTAGATATTGAAACTGACCCTTTCTGTTCAGTGTGACTTAAGGATTATTTATCAAATCAAAATTAAGAACCAGCCAACTGTAATGCTATTTTATTCAATAGTCGGTGAAAATGATTTTGAGACGTAGTGTAACTTTTAATGATGGTATAATCCACCAATTAATATGCTCTTGATTTCTAAACCATGCCACTCAAATCCTACTTTGTTACTGCGCAATAAGCTTGTTTAATGTGGTGATTAAACCGGTACTGTCTTTTGCAGAAAACTGATGAACGATACGTGAAAAATACACAGATCCGAGTGGTGGACTTTGGCAGTGCCACCTTCAACCACGAGCATCACAGCACCATCGTCTCCACCAGGCACTATCGGCCACCGGAAGTGATTTTAGGTGAGTTGTGCTTAAGACATTTCTTCCCCGATCCCAGATTACCAATACCATGTGGTTTTAGATTCAAACTACTAGTAGCTTGTGTTTGTAAGAGCTAACAGTTTATTGGTAAGGTTCATTGACATCAAGGATGCTGTTGTAACAATCCAGGGTGATCTGTTCCTCTCCTATAACCGTGGGGTTTATCTGAGTGACCCAAGTTCATCTCGCCTTGCTGAGATGCTGACCTTTGCTGGAATACAATTGCCTTCGGCACCTTTTGATCACGAGAGGGGGTTTGACTAAGAAGTCCCTTTGGCCCTTCATCCACAATGCTAGTCTGACTGTCAACTCATTACAGCATTTGTGTAATGAATGACCTTGACCAGGTGATCATTCTTTACATGCGAGTGTCATGAGGCTATTTGTCCATGGAGAGATTCTCAATTGAGCCTGATGTTGGGGCCAACATTTTTGTTTCCTCTCTGTCTCTGAGACCCCGGGGATATTGAGAACAACTGGTATCCCTGCTGAAACCAGTTCGCTCATCACATACCAGGACACAAACCTGGGAACTTTTGGTCATTGATGCCCCAGTGCTAACCTCTGTGTCGGTGGCAGAGAACAGATGTGAAAGTTGATGGCTCCTCGGATACTGGTGCCTTCTTTATATTATCTATAAGGAATTTGAAAGTCACCGATCTTTGATTCAGCTTTGAATGAAGTTTCCTGTGAGATAAGATATTGGGAATCCACATTTCCGCGGAGAAAAGTTTTTAACACTTAATTCTATTGCATTTTTTTTTGACAGAGCTTGGCTGGTCACACCCATGTGACGTGTGGAGTATCGGATGCATCTTATTTGAGTATTATCTTGGATACACATTATTCCAGGTAATTTTACGAAACTGATCTCTAGAATTGTGCACAAAACAATTAGCTGTCACCTGTACTTCAGAATGGAGTCCTGTAACTCACTGGTTAGAGCACTCGCCTCGCAAACGAGAGACCTGGGTTCAATTCCCGATAGGGCAAAATGTTGGGCAAGTTTCCTTACTCCACATGCCTCAGTTTACATAGCAATAAGTAGGAACCCGGTTGTTAGTCGATTGGCGGATCGCTTTTTTGGGGGTAATAATTCCTTCAAAAAAAATAATAAATTGGTCACTCAATGCACGACTGTTTATGGGACACTGCTGTGTACAATTGGCTGCCATGTTTCGCCCACAAAATATAGTCAATTCACTTTACAGTATATTTTGTGAAGCGTTTTGAGAAGTCTTGAAGACGTGATATATCAAATGCAAGGGTTATTATTTTGTTTCCTTTCAAAAAGTCATTGATTTTCAAATATGTTGCTTCATATTCAAAAGATTTCCCCCATTGGTTGCAAGTGGTGTGTTGCCTATATCTTCTCTTGGTAGTCTAGGAGTATGATTACTGTTATAGACATTCCCTGCTGCAATGTTGTGAATGCAGAGCGGGAATTACAGACCATCATTTACATCAATGTCACTGACTCAGTACTTTGACCCTCTGGCATTCTTAGTTCTGGAGCCAGGTGACCTTGCAGGACTCTGATGGTGACAGACCAGAGAGCGTGGATCATTGATGGCCATTAGGGCAATAGACCAGTCACATGGGATGAGGATTGTTTCCACTCTGCTATTGGGTACGGCCTCCTCCACACCCCCCGAATCCTCCGTTCCACCATCGGTGGTCGTGCCTTTAGCCACTACTCCTCAAAACTTTGGAACTCCCTCCCTCAACCTCTTCGCCTCGGCCCCTCCTTCCCCATCTTCAAGTCACACCTGAAGATCTTCCTTTTCGACCGCACCTACGGTCACCTTACCCCTCCCCCAGGCTCGGCCTCGGACTCCACCATTGTTAAGTGCCCTGAGACGTGGAGGACACTATAAGTGGGAGTTGTTTTGTTGTTAACCCAGCAAGCCAAAGGCCTATTTGGTAGGGTGATTCTAGCTGGACAAGCAGTGGGAAAGCTGTGTGATTTTAACTTGTTGCATCCACACACACTTTAGGATTCCCAAACCTTGGTTATTGACAACTTATGTCTAATACTTTTGGAATTGAGTAAATCGAGTGCATCTTCCAAGGTGAGAGTGCAGACTGCATTGAAGACAAAGGGAATTCTCCATATGAAAGCAAGGTGATGGGCTTCCATGTTTCAGACAGCCAACTCACCCCAAAATTGTTTGTGTACAGTAACCCTTTTTGGAAGCTGTGAATGTAAATGTTGGATAAAAACAGAATTCACTACTCAGTCTTTGGATCCTGCATCATAAACATTACAATGAACATGAACCTTGTTCATGAAGTCCTATTCCACCCTGTAACTTCCAGGCTTCATATTCTGGTTAACTGCTGATTCCTTCTGCTCTACAGGCAGTAAACCTCACCTACGATGGCCCTGCTCTCTGGAACTCTCTCTAAAAATCCCTTCACTTTGCTTTTCTCTCCTTGCTTTCAATGTCCTCTTAAAAATGTATATCTTACATTACATTTCATCAAGATCTTTAGGCTTCCTTCCTTTCTCTGCTTGGGTATCCCATTGTCGCTGAAATGCATTTCAAGACATGCATCCCAAGTGAAAGATACTATCGAAGTAATTGTGGAGTCACGTTTGTAAATGATTATTTCTTTTATCGTAGACTCACGATAATCGGGAGCACTTGGCCATGATGGAAAGAATTCTGGGTCCTATTCCTTCCCACATGATTCGGAAGACCAGGTAAGATTCCTTTAGTTAAGTGGCTTTAACGTGTGAAAGATTTGAACATGTTGATTGTTGCGAGAATAAGATTAAGAGGTGCATTAATATGTGGCATAGGCTATCCAAATGGAGGTGCTTTATTAAGTGTCTTAATAAAGCTGTGCAGATTTGGTGACTGTGGAAAGTAGTGGGCTTTATAGGCCAGATGGACTCACCTCATTCCATATCTTCCAATGTTCTGAGAGGGGCAGAGGCTTTAAACATGCTTTCTTTTTTCCAGTTTAACTGTACGTTTGCTTTTCTCAACAGAAAGCAGAAGTATTTCTATCGTGGGGCTCTTGATTGGAATGAAAACAGCTCAGATGGAAGATATGTGCGAGAAAACTGCAAATCTCTTCGAGTAAGATGATCAGATATTTAATTTAGTATCTAGGCGTGGGGAGAGAGGAACAACTAAGACTTTCTTTGAAATCATTTCCTCGTGAAAGAGGGGAAGGCAACTTTTTCTCTTTTTGGCAGTAACTTTGTGGTGCAGTTGCTGAGCCTTCATCTGATCAGTGATCGTGTCCATGTAGTATAATAATATTTACATTTGATGTAGTCATGCCTCATGTCGTTGAGACATCTCAAAGCACCTCACAGAATATACTTTAAATTGAATTGACTGTATATTGTGTGGATGAAACACGATAGCCAATTGCACACAGCAGTGTCCAACAAACAGTCATGAATTGAATTTATTTTGGGAGGGATTATTTCCCCCGGAAAGCAGTCCACCAATCGAATAACAACCAGACTCCAACTTAATGCTATGTGAACAGATGTGTGGAGTAAAAAAACTTGCCTAAGGTTTTATCTTACCTCGGAATCAATCCCAGGACCTCTCGTTTGTGGGGCGAGTGCTTATTGATGCCAATCTCTTATTCTATGGTACATGTCTTTTACGCAACTTTTCTTCACCACTTTCAGAGTTACGTGCTTTGTGACAGAATGGAACACAGGCTACTCTTTGACCTGATACAGAAGATGCTGATCTATGAACCATCCAAAAGAATCATGCTTGGAGAAGCATTAAAACATCCATTTTTTGATGAATTGACATCAGAGGAGCGAGCTGTTTGCAAACGGGATTCAGGTCTTCGATGATGTGGAAGGACTTCATAGACCGAGTGATGCAAAATCAGGATAGTGAAACCAGTCCTACACTGACTGACTGGTGACAACTATCTTGACTGGTAATGATTTAGTTCTAAGTCATTATTATATGTCATTGGATGGCTGGGACCGGTAAGATATAAGGGTTGGTTTCACTGTATCTGTTCATCATGGGTGAAAATAGAATGGCTTCTCAAAGAGTGGGTGTTGCCTTGTTGGGTGGAGTGAGGTGGATAATGCTATAGTATCCTAGTGCCACTAGCTTGACCTTCCTAATCTGTCAGAACAATGACAATGAACCAGTTTTTTTTGCTGGCATTGAGTGACTAGGTGAGAGATGTGCAACAATGTCTATAAAATAAAAATACAAAAAAATCGATCTTCAAGAGGGATTAAAGTACTGTATATTGCATATTTATTTAAATAAAGCTCCATTATTGAAGTGTGTGAAAACGCTTATAAAATAGCTACGTACCAGTTTGCCTCTTCGAGGTGACTTGTACTGGACATGATGCAGCATTTGTCTAGGGCCTGGTCAAATGAATGCAAACTGCAGGTAACTTTACCTAGGTCACTGGATGCTAAGACTGCCCCCTACTTTGTTCGTCTTGCTTGAGAATAGTTCCTACAAAGGTTTGACTGCATCACCTCCTGCTTTGAGGAAAGTGCAAAAAGGTATTTGTAAAGATTTTAACTCCGAGTACTCTTGAACTGCCTAAATGTTAATATATTAAAATGTTAATGAACTATTGGACAGGGACTCATAAGAAGACATTCCACCACACAAATTTTGAGGAATTGTTTTAGTCAAATGTAAACTCATTCACTCACTCCACTACTTTCAGCATTATTTTACAATTCCCGAAGGAATATCTTCAAACTCTGATGCAGGACATAGCTAGTTGTGCTTAAGACATCCTTCCAACTGCGGAGTAGGCTTTAGTGACCTGTTTGTACACTAGAGGGAGATTAGTATTTGACGTCAGCAAAATACAAATGGCACTGTTGTGCTTGAATTTGTTGCTATTACCAGATGGCGGCAGTGTTGCAACATTGAAGAGGAACAAAAGCAGTGCAGTAATATGCAGTACGTTCAATGATTTTAATTTACCCTGAAGAAACCAGCTACCCTGTGATGGCTGAAAATGAGCAGCCTGACTCAGTAAATCAGTTGCACACTCACTCCATTTGCCTAAACAGGCTGACTTGTAATGGGGAGGATCTGGATAATGGTTTTGACTCTTATTCAAATAAGACGAGTTGTGGTTCAGTCGACTCCTAACTGTACTTCAGTGGGTGACGAGGGCAGTTTCAGAAACTGGGTATCAAGAATTTTTAATACGATTGATTTGGGGTATTAGGAGCAACTGTGACAGAAGAAAGCATAGGAACCACAAGGAATGTCTTCTTTGTAAAGCGTCTCAGCTAAATATATTCAAATCTAATGTTCTATTTATGAAGCAGATTTGTTTTTTTTTACCAATTACATATTTGGTTTACAAGAAGCTTCACATTACAGTGCACAGTTATGTTCTGTGCAGTTTGCTAATATTTGATATGATCAGTATTTTGTACTGTTTTTTTTTCTCAAATTGTTTATTGCTCAGTGTTGGGAACAAATTGATTGTTTAAACAATCACTTTGAATTTCTAATAAATGCTACATTCGATAAAGGAGTGTCGCTCTCTTCCATTTTTGGTTCTGCTGAAAATTATTTCTGCCCACAAGTCACTTAACAGTATAATTTATGAAGCACTTTGAGACATCTTGACGCTATGTCAAATGCAAGGATTATTATTTAGGGCTGGCTTAGTTGAGACGGAGAATGATTTCCTAAAACTGCTAGATTGTGTTTCAGTGAAGTTTTCCAACAACACAAAACTGTTTAAAGTTGGTGCTTACTAGAGGGAATCTAGTGTAATATTCCAGGATTATTATAAGTAATCAGGCAATGTGGAAAATGGGTATCAAACATACATGTTTCACACTAAGATTTTTTTTTCCCATTCAGCCCCTTCATCTTGTGATTGTAATGTGCTAGTAGAATGAGGCAAGTTGCTGACAAAATTGCATCTTTATTTAGTGCTTTCTTTTGCTGCATCAATGAGTTATATGCACCCAGCAGACAAGTCTGTGACAAGCCACTGAAAATCTTGAGACAACAAATTTACATTTCGTAAATGACCATCACATTCAATGTCAAACAAACCTACCATAATATTTTTAATTACAAATGGCTGCGTTTCAAATTTCTTTTGTGAACTAAATTAGCCTGGTGTAACATGAACATATCTGAAAACTCCAGCTAACTTGAAGCCTCCTCTTTTTAAGTAGGCTGCAAACTTCAAGCTAAAAGTACACTTAAGAGGCATTTTTAGTCAGCAAAACATACTTCCAAAAAACAAAAATTGTTTGTGTGGGATTAGGCAAACATATTGCAAGTTACCATCTTCATTATTAACTTGAGATTTACCTTTACTCAGTGGACCATACTGTCACTGTACAGAATGATTTATCCTGAGAGTGGACATGACAAAAGGTTAACATGAGCCACCATATAGAGTGAAGGCAGGGAGACGAGGAGAACACAGCATCATTTGTACCTACATTGCAGTATAATGCCAGATTACTAAATTTAGATAATGAATTCTTTCTCGAGCTCACGTGTGATTGTCTGGGAGGGCACTGTGCCTTGAAGACATTACTGAAGGAGCAGAATGTGAAAGATATACTGAATCACTGAAACGTGCAGTGCTGCAGGAAACCAGTTTTATAAGATGCAGTATTTGAAGAACAAGTCTAACAAGACTTTAGAGGAAAATATGGACTATGAAATGCTTTGCATTCCTCCCAGTTCTAAGCATAAATTATCATTTCATCGACACAGCATTTTAAAAATAGGATGTTTCCACTATAATCGAACTATCAATTGTTCGCAGCCACTTGTCACCAAATAAAGTAGTCACGTGGCTCATTCACAAGTTGTTTCGTAAGCTTGTTTAGCTTCAGTAGAGGGCAGGACAGCCATTGACATATTTAGTCCTGTTTAAAGCTGTAATGTGAAAATAAGTCACAGAATGTGGGGAATGTTTTCCCCATTCTTAAAGTGAACATAACACAATTCTTCTGTGGGACAGTGAGGAGAAGAGATTTGTATCATTTGCCTGTTTTTAGATGGAAGTCTTCAAGATTTTAAATGGGGGGTAAGGCATTGCTTTATCAGGGCTCCAGTTTGGTGACAGGCCATGTTTATGGTTTTATATTATACTCTTTCTGACTTAACTTGCCTCTTCTACACATCTGCATAAAGAAAATCATACACAGCTTAAGAAAAACATAATTTGGTTGACATGGTAGTTTGCTAGCTAAGCTTTGAAATTGTACAGCATACAAGTAAAAATCTGCTAAAATATTACAGACTTCTTGGAGTGAAAACCCACATGTCGTGTGCTGTAAGAAGCAGTCCGTTTCTGACTTTCCTCAAAAGAATGCTGCTGATGTACCATACGTGCAAAGCTGCCTTCATGCATAGTCTTTCACAGCTTGTCTCAAGTTTTAGTATTAAACAGTTTACTTCAAAATGTACACTAGCTGCTTAAGTTTGTGGAAGCAATTGGTTTGTTCCATTTCCCTACATTCTTTAGTCAGTGAAAAAATTCACAAATGTTTTGTCCTTTTAAACAGCTAATATTAAGTTACAATACAACAAAATTAAGAAATTGGGCCAGCTGCGAGATTGACATGTTCCTGCTACCACACTAATTGAACCAGAGAAGCGCAAGGAATTTTGATTTATCATTAAACTAAGATGCTTTAAGAATCTTGGCAAGGAGTTGTGTATGCATTGCAATTTCCTTCATGCGTATCAACAGAGCCTTACCTCACAGCTAGTACCTGCCACTTCACCAAACAAATTCCACAATATTTCTTTCTCCTCCCCAAAATAAAACCACAACAAAACAGAGTGATTATGCTTAAAAAATCTTACTCCTCTTTGCAGTGGGAGCTGCCTGTGCCTAATAAACTAAATAACCGTTGTAGTCTATAAGGGAAGGGAGAAGTTTCATTGTTAACATTTCATTAGTAGTTAAAATGGTCTAAATGTAAATGTATTCAAGTTCTTCGACTCTGCGATAACTTCTGTTGCACCAGAGAAGTAAGATATTAAGATATGGAAACACCTGCACAATGTAGCCTCTGTGATCTTTACAAGAAGGCTGTTTTCAAAGAAACTGGTCTCATTTCTTAAAGCATCTTCCAGGCTCTCAAATTTTAATCAGCTACAGGAATCATTTTACATTAATTTACTGCACTGCAAATACAAAAGGAGTGTGCAGTGAGACATTGGCTGTTGCTATAAATCTCCCTTCCTGAGTTTCTTTCTCATAGCATAACACAGAACAAATATTAAAGCTGAAAAATACAGTATGCGTCTACAAACAACACAAGAGGGTTCTGCTGCATCTCAGAGTTATTTTTCTGAGTTTTGGCACGTATTCATGTTTGATTATTGCAGCTGTCTTAAGATTCAAAAACTGGAGGTTTTGAATTTTTTTTAATGAGGTGGGGGGAGGGGAGTAAACAATACTGTATCAGGAAAAATGTATGCTACACACATGGACCCATAATCTTGATGTGCCAAAAAATAAATACTAGCAACAGCTACCTTTTCTACTACGTACAGTTTCATAAAGCAACTCAAACTATGAAATAAGACAGGGCAAAGATATACATGTGGTACTCTGTTGTGGTGCATATCTAGGCAAAAGAACTACACTGATAAACGAGCAGTTTCATTTTAATTAACCCACTGGTACTGCAGATCAAGAATCTCACCAAACACGATGCTAATTTGGTCATGCAAAAAATAATCAGAAATACCCATGAAATCAAGTTGTGTGGTCAATAAAGCTCTGTTTATTCCATGGGCTCCAACTTAAGAGGGAAATAGTTTTGAAGGACCATTTCTGGGCATTTCTATTTTTTTCAATTTAGGTTACAATCTTCTCAACCATAGCCCACTCACCCCATAGTTATAAATGAGTTTTAAGGCTTTGTAGGCCCATGACCAAATAAAAAACACTAAAGATACAAGATGCATTGCAACTCTGAATGTTAAGTCCTTTAAACCCATGTTTTCTAATTACAATTCTCTATGATAAAGTATGATTAATTTAATGAGCAAATGAGTGGACATAGTAGATGTATTCCTCCTATAAACCCATTAAGTGGACATCTGACTGTATAGTACATACAAAATGTCATTTCAGCACAGTCCAACCATTTATAAATCAACTTCCAATAAGGGTCAAATTCCCCATTCAGCTGATATTAATTTGTGCACTGCAGTCCACGGCTTTGAAAGTGGTTTGGTATCTGATGGGATCAAATTGCCAAGCTATTCTTGGCTGAAATGGAGTTGACTCTTGTCAGGATTCCTGCTAAATCAGGATCCCGAGATACGGCTGAAACTACAGCAGTTTCCATTTAATACATCTTGTCCAGTTCTAAGCTAAATGGAAAATTAAGTCAAGCATCTGCTTTGTGTGTGACAACAGTGCATCTTGACGGGACCTTACACACAATATTAATGCACATCACAGACTGCAAATACATCAGGTATTGCTGATATGTTGTGGAGTATCAAAAGCTGGTGTTTCACCACAAATTGAGATTCGCTGTATAAACATACAGGCATTGAAAGATTTTCCAACCGTTAGCTGCCTTTGGTAGTAATGCAAAATTACACCAGTGATTACTTCCAACTGGCAAAAGTGGAAATTTTAACAGAGAGACTGACTGCCAATGTGGCAGTCACCCTTAGCTCCATTTCAGACGCACCTTGTGCCACTTTCAACTTTCAAACCCTTTCCTTTTTTTTGGCTTGCATTTTGAACATCGGTTTCTTATCAAAGCCACTGGCAGTGGGAAGGTTCTACACGAACAATCGCAAATAGGTTGAGCCAGTTTTCACCCTGCCAAAGTCTGGCAAATGTAACAAACTATACTGTGCGCAGCCTTCTGGATAAAAAGGCACAGCAATGTGTGAGAAAACAAGGCAGAACTACAAACCAGTATAACCTTTGGTGCAGACATCCCTTAAAGAAACTCAATATGGCACCAGTCCAAATAGTACAATTTCCAGTGCTTTCATCGCTTCGCAAGAATTTTGTTCTGTAACAATAACCATCGATATCACTTCATTCCGAGTCCATTGTACATTAAGGCTTCATATTCCTTGCCAGACACTATACCTATCATTTGAAAAGTACATTTCCCTCAGATGCATTAAACCATCATTATTCAGAATGCAAAGGTATGACAAACTTGCAACCAAAGGGAGAATGATATGAGATTCCTGCTTCCTGGAAAACCTTCTTAGGTATTCCAATATCACATAGATATACTCGTCCAGCACTTTCTCCTAATGGTAAAGGGAGGCCCAGAGCAAGAGACCACTTGGCGTCGATGGCTTGCTCCAATACACTCACAGGTGGGTCAATGCTCAACACTGGTGCTCGGTTATGGTTCGCCCATTCAACTGCTGCTCTGTACCAGGGCTGCTCACGAAGGAATGGGTTCTCATGGCAGTCCAGGCAATTGATCACTAGGTCAACTGGAGTGTCTGGCAAATCTGCAAATGTTTTCAAAGACGAAATGTTATTCAGAGAACACAGTAAATGATTCAAAAGAATAATGGATCTGCTTTCGCTAATGCGATAAGCCTCAGAATGACAAGGATTGTTGCATCCTGTGTCTAACCTGAGAAATATCCAACACCCGTTAAATACCTCAGATAAAACCTCAGCGCCCTAATATCACAACATTTGGAAACGGAAAGAATCCGAGCCGTAAAAATTAGGCGTTCATATAATTTCCAGTTTAAAATTGGTTCAAACTCTCTAGAAACATAACTTTTGATATTCAGGAGCACCTCTCAGCCTTTGTAACTGTTATTTTGTTAACAGTTTAAGATTGCAAAAAAGCAAATTTCTAATTGTTTCATGGATACAGAAGAGCATCTTGAGATCACCACTATGGATGCAGATGTCACCAAAAAACAGTTTGCTGGAAGCACCTCAGGAAGTGTGACGGGAACGTAAAAGCTGCTTAAACTAAAACCATTCCTGAAAGAGTTAACATCAACTTTAAGAGTTTACGCTCTTGTGAAATGAATGGAGAGCCAGCAATGAACCCCCTCACCAAACTCTGCTCCCCGATAACCCCAGTTCTTGCCAGACTGCACTGGCTGCCTGTCCCAGAAAGGATCGACTTCAAGATCCTCACTCTTGTCTTTAAATCCCTCCACTCCTCTGCACCCCCCTAACTCTCTGACCTCTCTCCTCACAACAGTGCCCGTTGCCTTCGCTTCACCATCTGGCCTCCTCCTTGTCCCCTGAATCCTCCGCTCCACCATCGGTGGCCATGCCTTCAGCCACTATGCCCCAAGGCTCTGGAACTTCCTTCCTCACTCCCTTCTCCTCTCCCCCTCTCTTCCAATTTTCAGGTCTCGGCTGAAGACCTTTCTTTTCAACTTCCTCCCCGTCCCCCTGGCTCGGCCCTGGGATTCGTTTCTGTGAAGCGCTCTGAGATGCCATCCGGCGTGGAGGGCGTTATATAAATCCAAGTTGTTGTTGTAGCTATTGTTGGTACACACAGGAACTACTTTAAAGTTTCAATGTAATCTGAGCTGGAATATTATAGTTTAGAATATTTACCAGCCAACGCTGGGGCTTTCAGATAACAAAAATCACTATTGTTTACATAGAGTGGAGTCCTGTAGCTCAGTGGTTAGAGCATTCGCTTTGCAAGTGAGAGACCTGAGATCAATTCCAGACAGGGTGAAACGTTGGGCAAGTTTCCTTACTCCACACAGAGCCTAATAATAATCCCTCCAAAACAAAACAATAATAAATTGGTCATTTTCAATCTACGACTGTTTGTGGGACATTGCTGTGCGCAATTGGCTGCCACGTTCGCCCACAAATATACAGTCAATTCACTTTACAGTGTGTTCTGTGAAGCGCTTTGGGACGTCCTCTTGACGTGAAAAGCGCTATATCAAATGCAAGGATTATTATTATTATTATCAAACCTGCCAAGGAGAAAATATTGCTTTTGTTGGGGCACCGACTGTATGAGACACCTACAACTCAAAATAATTAAGGCCACACAACATTTGTCTTTTGTTGCTGTTCTTGCCAAAATCCTGGTTATAATAAATTGGGGCTTGTGGCATAGAAATCATCAAATGCAGTTTGTGGATACGGTGTAGGTTGCCTGCTCCTGTTGAGTGGAGGCGGCAAGTAGCCCATAAAGAACAATTGAGGAAGCAGGGTGGAAACCGGGGGAAACAGGAAGAACACATTTCAGACTCCGCTGGGGTTCAAGTCTATAAACTGTGGAGGTGTGAAGTGAATACGTAATAGTTATAGCACCTCAGTTCTGTGAATTGCACACTGTTAATTCAGAGGTGCCAACTGTGCTGGAACTGACACTTGGACTATATTGTTTTCCAGCCATTTAAATGGCTGAAATGACTCCTCCTCTGCCAATAATCTTATGGATGGGCTTACCTTTATCCAGTCCTTTCCCCTCTTTACCTGCGCCAAATGATATTTTCTCACAAATAACCCAGCATTAGCAATTAAAGTGAATAGTATCTTAGTACTGGCAGCGACGCACACTTTAAAGGAACTTTGCTTCACATTTAGGTCTGGCAGAAACTAAATACTGTCAATCCCTCTGCAGAGATCAGGACAACATTTACTTATACTCATCTATCATGAGTAACCAAACCATACTATTTACTAAAAGGTTTTTAGAAACTTAGATTTACATTCTAAGAGCTTCCTGAAGCACAGGATAGTTATATCTGCAGTAGGAACATGAACTAGATAATCCCACATAACCCTTAGTTATAAGCCCTTAGATACACAAGCGAAGTAATTAATGGATTCTTACCCACCTTTAACATTGGCCACTTGTTTGCTGTCAGTCTTGCTGAGAAGCTGAAGCTCAGTGGTGATGCACTCCAGCATCTTCACAAAGTTGGGCAGGAAAAGGATGACTTGAACCTCGTGGTTGGCAAGATGGCGTCCACAGCTGATCCCTTGAGCTCCCTTAACATGTGGCCCACAAAGCAGTGCAACTGTTGGTCGCTGGTGAACATTCTTGGGATTTAACCTTGAACAGAGAATAAAATGATTCCAGTTGCATTTTCTTCAACCGTACATACTCCTCCCTTCTCTCCTGAAAGAAGCCTCATGGCATGAGCATGATTTCAATGGCACTTGCAGGCTTGTGGCCACTCATGATATGTGAGTGTCTGCAGCGGGTGTTGACAAGCTATTCAATTGTGGCATTGCTGTCAGATAGGCTAAATGATGATGGGTACTGCAGCAAAATCTCACCTGGCTCTCATCATCTGATCTCCACCCATGCAGGTTGTCGATCTCCCTGCTTCCCCCCCCACCCCCCCGCCTTCCACCCTCCCCGACCCCCAACTCAGGTCTGTAATTATCTGTCTAGTGCCTTGGGATGTCCTTCTGAGGCGCTATACAAATGTAATTTTGTTGTTGTCGTTGTGTACAGTGATCGGGATTTTTTTATTGCATTACTGGAGACCCTGAGCTTGCTTTGCCACATCAAACCATTGCTTTCTCAGTACACCGTGGCAAATCCAACACAAACTTGTTCCCAACACAGAACGAATAGTTCTAAGTCCTAGCCTGAGTTCTTTGGTGCTAAAGAAAAAGACAAAAACGTAGTATCACCGAGTTTCTATTGCAGCGACAAAAGCCGCAGCAGGGAAGAGTACAAGTATTTCCTATTGTATCAAGGTGGATGCTGTTACCTTGGTGAAGGTGACTCTTCACATCACCTCCAGAGGCAAAAATACCCAGGACAATATTTGTTCCTTTCTGTGCACTAGAATAGATCCATGGTTTCCTGATGCTGGATGTGAGCAGTGTTGCCAGGACCCACCCCACCCAACAGCCCTGCCATGTGTTTTTTCCTCATTTGCTGCCCTACATGCACTTTTTCCCCAGAAGATCGGGGACAAGTCACGAGATGTGACTACTACAAATCTACAATAGTTATATCTCGTGACTTGCAACATGGTTGTTTGCATGGTTTCCATCGGTGCTTTGGATACGTCTCGTAGTATACACGGGGCGGGACCCTTGACACCAGCAGCCTCAGGGGACTTCAGAACCTGTTCAAATCGAACCGGTTTTGAGCTATCCTGCAACATAAAGGCAGCACAACACTCAGATATGTGGGAGAGGTCCAGATGCAGACAGCTTTATCAAGCTTCTATTATTCAAATAAATGTTGCATCATCATGACTGCACTTTAATAATAATGATAATAATAATCATCATTCTTGCATTTGATAATTAATATTGTGGTTTATCACATTCCTGAAATGTCTCAAAGTACTTGACAGAATATACTGGAAAGTGAATTGACCGTATATTTGTGGGCAAAATAGGCAGCCAATTGCACACATAAGTGTCCCACAAACAGTCAAGTGACCAAATTATATATTTTTTAAGTTATTATTATCCCCAGAAAGCAACCCTTTCATTTATGCCTTTCACTTCAGGAGGACGCATCAAAGCTCGTCACACAGCTGACTTGGAGCCTGAGCTGGGAGGGTAGGGAAAAGTGGCTGAAAATTCAGTGGAAAAGATGCGTCTTAAGGGTGGGTTTTGAAAGCAGAGAAGGAAAGGGCGAGGTGGAGGGATGGAGTCCAAGAGAATGGGTAAAGAATTGGTGGGTTAAGGCTTGCACACATATCGGGTTGGATTGGGCAGGCAAAATGAAGCAGACTGGTGTTAGCTGAGAGGAGGGAGAGGCCAGGGATGTGGGATCCTAGAGGTAGAATGGGCTGAGGTCATGGAGGAAACTGAATATTAGTAATATCCTAACATGAAATGTTGCACAATGTGTTTAACTGTTGTGCAACATTTCATATAAACACAATTATTATTATTTTCAATGACTGCTATGCATTTTCTGCTCGAGTAAGCACTATTCGGGAATTTCAAAACTTGAAAATATAGTTTAATGCTTAGGAATCTGGTGACAATGCAATAGCCTCATTTTTGTTTGTCATCTTCCTTATTTTTGAAGTAAAGTTTTCCTCTGCAAACCTTGGACATTCAAAGCTATCACAAAACTTCAAAGGGCTGATCCTCACTCTTGTAAGAGTGTAGGACGGAGGTCCATGCTTACCTCACATCATTCAGATGCACTATTTGAAATTGCATCTCATCACCCCTCCAACCCACTGCCTTTTCACGACTGGCTCCGGGCTCCTGCATGTCCCCTGTGCCCTTCGTTCCACCATTGGTGGCCGCGCTTTCAGCCACTACGCCCCGAAACTCGGGAACACTATTCCTCTATACCCCCGCCTTGTCCTTTCCTTCCCCATTTTCAGGTCGCGCCTGAATACCTTCCTATTCGACAGTTCCTACAGTCACCTCCCCCCGACTCGGGGTTGTGCTCTGCCACTGTTAAGCGCTCTCAGACGCTATCCTGCGTAAGGGACACTATATAAATGCAAGTTGTTGTTGTCACCTCTACTCCCCTAAAAGGATGCTGGTGCATGAGAACAGGCTAGATTCCAATCCACAGATGTTAAAACCAGATGAAACTATAGAGAGAAGCAAGTCATTCCAATTGGCTATCTGATCCAAGGACCCATCCCAAATTCATTTAAGAACTATTCCAGAGTAGCCTGGTGGCAAAGTGGGTTTCACCTTATCTCTCAATTGAAATCTAGACTAGATTGATGAAATGAAGTCTATTCGTAGCTTTGAAATTGGCCAACCTATTTAATAGTCCAGCAGGATCCACGGCTCAATACCACACAAGTTTTCTAGGGTTCCTCTTTAAGGAGGTAGAGAGAGGCTCATTTGATCGCATGTCTGCCTGGCAGTGATAGCGTTCTCGCCTCGGAGTCAGCAGGTTGTGGGTTCAAGCCCCATGTCGGGACTTGGAATCACATAGTCTATCTAAACTGACACTCCAATGCAGTGAGGCGTCACTGAAAAGAGAAGGCAGTTTCTCCCAGTGTCCAGGCCAACAAATCCCCCAAATAAAATTGGTCACTCACTCAATGGCTGTTTATAGGACACTGCTGTGCGCAAACTGGCTGTCGCATTACACCTACAAAATACATTCCACTTTACAGTATATCCTGTGAAGCACTTTGAGACATCTCAATGATGTTATAAGCTCCTATATCATTTGCAAGAATTATTGCCATCATGTTAGACTTGGCCTGGGACTGCACCGAGACTCGCAATGGAAGCCCAAAATGGAAATTTTAGTGCTCCGTATCCACATCTTTGAGGAGTACAAACTTATTAAAACTGGCAAAACATTCAAGTTGAGAGATACCTGTTAGGTCCACCAAGCAGTGTTAGTGCCATCTGGCTGGCACATACTCCAGTCATTTCCAGTCTGCGCTCCAAGGATAGACCGTGTCGTTCTGCTGTTGTCAGCAGTTTCTTGTGCAACTCATAAGAAATACTAGGAACAACCAGTCCTGAATCTACAAGAGAGGCAAAGGCAGCATATTGGTTAATTGTGGAAAATATACAAGACATATGCTAAAACGCAAGGATACATAGCAAAATACATAGTCAATTCACTTTACAGTATATTCTGCAAAGCACTTTGAGACTTTGACGTTACAAGGCGACTTATCAAACGCAAATAATAATAATAATAATAATCCTTGCATTTGATATAGCGCTTTTCACGTCGAGAGGATGTCCCAAAGCGCTTCACAGAATAGACTGTAAAGTGAATTGACTGTATATTTGTGGGCGAACGCGGCAGCCAATTGCGCACAGCAATGTCCCACAAACAGTCGTAGATTGAAAATGACCAATTTATTATTGTTTTATTTTGGAGGGATTATTATTACCCAAACTGTCACATGTATCAATGCTGTTGGGCTCTGTATGAAGCAGAGACTGGATGCTGGTATTTGGGAAGAAAGGAAATCAAATAGCCAATGAGCCATGATGAAGGAATAGATGGATGGAAATATCCTTTTTTTGGTCAGCCGGGTGCCCGACACGTGCCAAAACCCATCACCATTCTTAAGAGTATCCCAACCGAACTGAGAATTCCACGCAGCCCCCCCTACACATGGAAATCCCAGAGATAGATTATCGGAATGAAATATTATTTCATTATTATTATATTATTATATGCTTGAAAGATTATTGTTATAACTTTCATGTACACTGCAGCACACCAGAGCTACACTTTCAGATGGAACTCCTGTAGAGATAATGTAGGATTTGGATTCACAACTCAACAATCTCAGATGCATTATTGTCGTAGTCTGTGCGTGCACCTAGTTGGGGGGGAGGGGGGGGAAGAGAGAGAGAGGAGGAGAATGGAGCACAATGTGGAGACCATGTCCCCATAGGGAAGTAAAAAAGTACTATCGATTTGTGGTTGCTTAGAGAACAGCAGGTGCCCAGGAGCAGTCTATGTAATCATTGCTTTTGAAATAAAATTGGTCATTTACTTCATGACTGTTTGTGAGACATTGCTGTGAGCTTTTCCCTACAAATTAGAGTCACTACACATTATAGTATATATCCTTGAAACTGGTGCTATATCAAATGCAAAGATTAATATTTAGATGCAAAATGAAATGCAGCACATAAACAGTTCAACATCACAGCTTTCCAGAAATACAACACAGCAAGGCTGAATTCACTTTGCCTGAACAATTGTTTTCATTCCAATTTTATTTTCAGTGCCTTGAAAGAACGTATTGAATACTTTGTAAACAGCAGAGATGAAGCTCCTGAAACTACAATATTTTAGGAACAGCTGTTTGTAATGAAAAGTAGTTTTCATAATTCTTCAGGAATGCAGAAAAGTTGGTTACATAATTGTGGAACTTAGTGAATCATAGATGTATCACTAGGGAATCCTGGCAATTTAACTTCAGACTAAATGCAGTACAAATAATAAAATGCCGCTGTGTAACACATTTCCTCCTACTTAAGTAGATATCTAAAATCAGGAGAGGAACAAACATTTGGCAATTTTTTACATCAGTATGTTGCTGTAGCACGTAGAATGCAGCATGTAGAATTTCAGACAGAGATCTAAACGGGGATAGGATTTGCAGAAAATAAACTGTCCTGAGATGTGGGACAAAATAAAAAACACAAAATCACAAAGATCCATTGACATAGCAAGTTGTGCATGACGGGTACTTTCAAATACTTCCTGCAAAAGTGGTAAATTCATAAACATTATCAGAACAGATCATGTTACATGTCTGACACAGTACAGATATCCTACTTGTGTTGCTAACTTTTATAGTCACTTGACCTAGGAAGGTTCTTAATGAAATTCAACAGCTTTGATGTAGCAGCTAGTGTTCAGATCCTTTAACTTCAAAAACTACTAACTCGCCCTGAAGCACCCAACACTATCCTGAATTATCTCTCTCCTCTTCAGAGGTATTTTGGATGGTAATTTACGGACAGCTATTCGATTTCCAGTCTGTATTTTTACCACTCCCAGATGTCAAAAGAATCATGAGAGAAAGAAGTTCACTGGCCCCTATAACTTGGAGGAGTATACAGCCTTTGGGGATTGAACAAACCCTAAGGGACAATGTCTTTGAGACAGAACCAACTATGTCAATCAGGTACAAGTTTATGATTTTTGCTGAAGTACATTTGACAACTATTTTGAATTCTCACCAATAGTTCATGCTCAATGCATACCGATTACATGGCAGCATGAAAAGAACGTGGAAACTGCTACTGTTTATTTAAAGTGTTTGTTTAAAACAAATGATTTGTAAACTGTGGGTTGCCAAGTAACAATGCTAGTTAACACGCAATAGTCGTTGACACAGCTGAGTTCGCCTGAGAAAAAGCAAATAGATTTTTTGAAGGCTTCTGTCACAAGTACTGTAACTGTTAACCAGTCCGTGACAAGATGCAAATTAGAAGAAATGAGGAATACCTGGTTGTGGGTGTAAAATAAATGACACTGCTGGCAGATTGCTTGTATTGCTTTCTAAACACATTGGTTCCACACTTGGCACCTTGCTCAAGTTTCAATTTGAAAATCAATCATGAAATTCCATGAAATTCAAAAGTGAAGTAAACATTTTATGTGCCAGCTACACCTGAATCAAGTGTTAAAGTAACTCCCAGTTCCTCAAATGTGAAGTACCTCACAATACAAAAAGGGGAAAAATTAATTTTAGAATTTGTAAATTGCGCTACAAAAGCAGGAAATGTTTTGAGTTGATTTAGTGAGTACCTAACACACATAGATCAGGGCAGCTCCCAAGCTTGAAGCTCAGACTGTGTTGACTGGGCATTTGTCAGGGCTATAAATCTTATTACCATGTTTAAGGAATAGTAAAAATAATCAGGGTTTCCACAGCTGAGAATCATTTAGAAAAACTAGAATACTGAAAGATCACTTTGCTCATGCAGACTACATCTTGTGTCTTTTTTCGCCTCAGTTATACTTCAGATGCTGTCTGAAATAAAATGGTCAATAGCTGGCAGACAAGATTTCTAAATCACTCTGGATCAGGTTAACAAAAGACATCTTCTGCCCAAATACAACTGAGATGTGTTGAGTACCACTTTGCTGGCTAATATTTTGAAGCTCTTGGGAGATAGGGTGTGCCCAGCTCTCCAATAAAGTTAAAACCCAACGACTTCTCAAGATACTTCCACAAAACTTACCTTAATCAAGATCCCAGCTCCTGAAACTACAATTAAGCTACAATATATAGCTTAAAGTACAAACTACAGTATACAATTTGCTTCAATGCGTTACCAATTATTAATAATTATTATTATAACACTTTGATTATGGTTTATTTACTGCTCAAGACATAATACAGCAACCAACTAGTCACTTTAAAATATTCTGGGCTGCCTGCCAGCTGAGCAGCTGACACAAAACCATGGCCTCAGATTTGATTTTCAGGATAACAGTCTATTATTTACGCTGCTCCAATTATTCTTATCCATAGCAAACGCATCCTGTTGACTGATCAGGGAACAGTGGTCGAGGAAATGTCTGTCTCGAACTTGAAGGCAATATTTAACTGAAGTGCGGAGACTCTTCAGTGATTTAAGAGGTACAGTTTAAAGGTGAAATCCTAAGTGATACACTTATCCCTTTCAATAACATTTTCTCTGCACGATGCATGAATTTACCAGGAAAGGGGGATCACTTATTTTTAACCACAAGAAAACTGCTGAAAGTTTTAGATTTTGTATATTTTTAAAAAATGGTCCTTATCTATTGTGTACAGTTAATACTTCAACTGCACCAATGTAAAATCTCCAAATAAACAACCAAAACAGAATTTGGCAGTTGATCTATCTTTCTTCATCTACATCGTGTAGTACTGTGTAATATTAAAATCAAGGGGAAAAACAGCTAAGGAAATCATCAATAATCTAAAGTATTGTTTGTATTCGCCTATATTTTTGACACATTACCGTTGTAGTTTGAAAGAAATGGATACAGCCCACCCACTAAACATAATAACCCTGCCGCATGGGCAATACATCATATGTTTTAAAAAGAGGCACTTAGTAACCCAGTAACTGTATTGTTGAATAAAACAAAAGCTAAAAACAAATCCCTAACTATTTGAACTTAGTAAACTGCAAAAGCTTGCATATATCCTTCCTGGAATACACCAAAAAAATATACACATGAAATTTCAGAAGATTGCATTGCAGTCGCTGAAACAAAAACAAGATTAGTAGTGTCAAGTGTAGTGATTTCCTGTAGGCCAAAGCTGCGGCTATTGTCAGCCTGGCATAGTGGTAGCATTCTCACCTGAGTCAGAAGGTCGTGGGTTCAAGCCCTACGTCAGGACATTGTCTAACCTAACCTTTTTGACCGCGCCTTTGGTCACCTTTCTCCCCCTCCCCCTGGCTCGGCCCCACGATCCGTTACTGTGAAGCGCTCTGAGACACCGACCTGCGTGGAGGGTGCTATATAAATCCAAGTTGTTGTTGTTGACACTCCAAAGCAGTGCTGGGGGGGGTGTTGCATTGGAGGAGGTGCAGTTGTTTGGATGCGATGTTAAAACGAGATCCTATTTGCCTGTTCAGGTGGATATTAAAGATCCCATGGTACTATTCGAAAAGAACAGGGAGTTTCTCCAGGCGTCATGGTCAATAATCCCTCAAATAAAATTGATCACTGACTGTTTGTGGGACATTACGGTGCGCAACTGGCTGCTAAGTTTCTCCCACAAAATACAGAGTGTATTTTGTGAAGCTGTCTCACTTAATCATTATTATTTATTTGCACCAGCAAGGTCCCACAAACAACCTTGAAGTAAATGACAAATTATCTGTAGGACACAGGGGGAAAATAACTTCCCTTTTCAAATAATAACATGGGATCTTCCACTTGAACAGACAGAAAAGATGCCAGCTTACTTCTGATCCGAAAGACAGAATTGGCAATGGAATGCTTCTTCAGAATGGCATTCAAGTATTAGACCAAACTCCAGAT